CCTGCCATCTTGATGAGGTTATTATTTCAACTGATTTTTAGTTGGGTCTCTAAGAAGACTATCACATTATCTGCAAAAATTAATAATTTTTTTTCTTTTTGCCTATGCTTATTACTCCAATTGTTGTCTTATTGTCATGGTTAGCATTTCTAGCACTACATCAAGCAATAGTGATAACAATGGGAATCCTTGCTTTCCCTCTGATCTTATTTGAAAGCCCTCTTGCTTATTTCTATTCTATATAATACTGGCTCTTGGCTTTAGATAGATACTATTTGTCATATTAAGGAAAATCCACTTATTCTTATATTTTCCAAAGAACAGAAATTATGTCATATTTTGTCAAAATCCTTTCTTGCATCTATTGGTAAAATCATATGATTCTTATCATTTTGTTATTCATATAATTCATTATGTTTTTAGTTTTCCTAAAAGTGGATCAATCTTGAATTCCTGGTAGAAATCAAATGTGATGTCAATGTATAACCTTTTAAATATGTTATTGTAGCCTTTATTGATATATAGTTTTCTTTCTGTGATTTCTCTTTCCCTGATTTAGATATCAAGATTGTATTTGTATAATAGAAGGATTCTTCTTTTTTCAAGTTTAGTACACAGTTTATATAATATCAGAATTGCTCTTTGAATGTTTGATAGATTTTACTTGTAAATAGATCTAGTCCTGTATCTTTCCCTTGGGAATTCATTTATGGCTCAATTTTTTTTTTAAATTGTGCTTTTTAATCTCTGTATTTCTTATTCTATTAATATGGGTATTGTATATTTCTATAACTATTTATGTACTTCATTTGTTACTGATTTTGTTGGTATATAATTCAGAAAAATAATTTCTAATAGTATCCTTTGTTTGTTCTTCATTTGCTATGAGTCCTTCTCTCTGAGCTAATTCATGATTTGCCTTTTCAGATGTTATTAATCCAGATTCTACCTTAAATTATTATTTAAGGCAGATAACAGTTACCTTGTTTGTCCAAGGTGGTTGAATAGTTGTACATATACAGTAAGAAGTGTCTGCAATGGCTAAATAAATAGAACTCTTGTGGGCTGCAGGGTAGTTTGTTGGGGGATTCTCACCATGAATATACCTTTCATAACTCATTGATTTAGGGAAAAGTCTGAAACTAGGTACTAAAATCACTTCCTAGGTGATTATCTCTTTTAGTATTACCTCTCTCCAATCAGCTTAGTATAATTAGCCATGCGTTCCATAAATATGTTTGTGAGGATGGGGGGAGGGGTGTCAAGGAACTAGTAGAATCTTTCCCCTCAGGGGAGTAAGATGAAGATTGGGTTATGGGTCCAGTAAAGAACAATCTTTTCTGAATAGCTGATCTACCCAGAGTCTACTGACAAGGCTCTTCCTGAGTGGAATTTCTGAACCCCTTCTGATTTTATCTTTGATGAATAGTATATTGGGTAGGATGTACCTAGCTTTTCCAAGTTCTTATAAGCTGGGCGCATTCTCAGAAGCCCTCCTCCAGATGACCCCATAGTTTTATAGGTAGAATTCCTAACACACATTATTCTAACTTTACCATTTTAAAATTATTTTTAGGCCTTAGGAAGCCATCTGGCTGTTTCCTAATCACATGTTAGGTTGTCTCAGTTATCAGAAACTTGGCCACAGTTAAGGAATGAGGCCAGACAGAAAGAGGGGTTGGTTTATTTTACAATGCGGCCTTGAAGACTCTAAACTAATAAAGTTTCCATTAAATAATTAAAAAAAAATTCCCTTGGAGGACATAACAATGAACCAGTCTGTCATTTTGTTTTATACCACCGCTGAGCTATTTCAAGTATGAACTTCAGTTTGTAATCCAAGGAGAACAGGTTTAAAGCCTAATATTGTTTCCCCTTCATTTCTATTCAACAATTCAACATTCATTAAGTTCCTACTGTGTACACTGTGCTAAGCCTAGGGAGAGACATAATTCATGTAAGATGGACTCAGCATGAATTATATTTCTGATAGGAAAAAAAGAAGGGGACTCTTTTTGAGGGCCAAAATGCTTTCAAAGAGGATGGACATCTGCTATGGCAGGATTTGGCAAGATGGACAAAAGAAAACAAAATGCCCCCATTTTAAAACTAATAATAAATTAGGACTAGTCCATCCATGATTACCATTTTATTTTTACTGTTTGGATGAATTTGATCTTAACACATGATAAAAATGCAAACATTAGCCAAAGACATTTGTTATGAAGATGAAAAAAAAATCTGATTGTATGCTTGGTATACAGAAGTAGTAGGAATCCAGAGTCACTTAAGATGAATTAACTACTCTAGGTAGCATCACCTCAATCACTGAGATAATAACTGGCTTAATTCTGGGGTTCCCCAGGATCCATGTGTCTCAGGAAGCATGTTTCCACTTCTCTACCATTGTTGCTTTGGCCTCATTTGTCTTCAATTCTTTAAATGTTTAGGGGATAACAGTATTCTTAAGTCCTATGTTGAAAGCAACAATGGCTGTGTTCTAGGCACAGTCTTATTTTCATTTTACATCATTAATATTATTTTTAAAGTCTTTTCCAAGACTCAGTTGTGTACATGCCTCTGTTACAGGCATCATGTGAACTCTAAAGTAAGGGGTATATCTGATCATGCCCTCAAGAAGTTAATAATCTAAGTCTCTTCATTAAATTCTTTGAAAAAATCACACTCACATTTTTCTCTATTCTTTTAATGAAAAAAAAAATGTAAAAGACCTGGGCTCCCATCCTAACTTGCACATACTGGCTATTGGTCCCTGGAGAAATCACTTAACCTCTCATTGCCCAGGCAGCCATGACTGTAAATTGCAGAGGAATTGCTGATCTGTACTTGAAGGAGTCATCTCACTGAGAACTCCCTATGCCAATGAAATTCTAGGTTGGAACCAAAAACAAAACAAAACCAAAACCAAACTTTAACCTCTCGTTTAAGTGTTTTGAATTTAAAATTTTTTTCTTCTTTAATATTGCAAACATCCTTTAAATTAAAACAACTTTTTTTTTTCCCAACTAGCTTTTCATCCTAACACTTTGGATGAAAATAATTACCTTAGAAAATTCTTCTCTTTTATTCTTCCTAGGTTACTGTCCAGGAACCCCATTTTGACTAGGTTAGAGAAACCGTCTTTAGAGTGATAATGGTGTGGGTGGTGGAACTCTAGAATAGTTTTTTTTGTGAATGGCCCGAGTCCTGCTTTGTCCTTGTCTTTTGGTATATACAGAAGAATTTCTTTGGATAACTGATGCTTATATTTTAGTATATATTCACTGTCTTGTCTGCTGGAAGCAATATTTATATGTATAATCTCTCCTTTTTTTTCAATTTCTTGCAAGCTTTTTAACACTTAAAATTCTCATCTAGAAGGGGTGAGATTGCAAATATGTATTGCTCTGACTTCCTAGACTATGCTTATGTTTTCAATGGCACCAAAAGACAGGTGAAAGAATTTAAGCAGAGATTAAAATAAAGATTAATCTACATCAAAATTACTTAAGAGCAAAGACTTCATTGAGATAGCATAGTGTAATGGGGTTAAAAAAAACACTGAACAAAAATAAACATCAGGAGACTTGGATTTTGATTTTTACTCTGCTTTTAATGAGTCGTATAACTTTGGATAAGTCACTTTCCTTCTCTGGGCCTCAGTTTTCCTGTCTGTTGAAATGAAGAATTATAGACTAGATGATATTTATGATTCTTCCAAGTTCTAAAATTCTGTGATTTTATGTACAGCCTTCTAATGAAGTTAACCTTTCATAGGACAAGCACAAAGAGATGACTTCTACCCTTAACAGCCTGAGACAATTAAATCAGTCCCACTCACTTATCTTTAATGAGGAATTAATGGGCTGTTTAAGGATGAGTCTAACACCAGTATCCATAGTTCAAGTCCAACCTTGGGATAAAATGAGGCACTTGTGAGTCATTGAATAGTTAACAAAAGAAGTTGTACAATACCCTAACATAGTAGGGTTATGTAACAATAAAGTGGCATTTAGTTCCTCTAGATGAGGTTTTCCTTGTCTCCATATGGAAACTCATGTGGTCACCAGTGGTGTCTGGTAACTTGATCTATCTTCAGGCATCCACATGGGTGGGACATTTTATGCCTTAGGCCACCAGGAAGCTGTGTTAAGGGAGGCAAGGGCCAATCAGGTCCTATAGACAGCATGTTGCCTTTTAGGGAAAAAAGAATCCCTTTGAAGGGAATCCAAGTCCTAACACAGGGCATGTCCCAGTAGGACGCTTCCAGTTCTCTCAGTAAGGCTGTCAATGGGTATACCCACATCTTCTATTGGCAGATAAAAGCAAAGTCTCAAACAAAGGCTCATGTCCCAGTAACTTCATCAGAGTGATTAGGGAATCTCTCCTGATCAGTGCCCTAAAACGGTTCACAGTCATCTGAAAAGATCATGCAATATGCAGGTCCCTTAAAAGCAAATAAATTTAGGCTCTGAATAGGTTAGGAAGGCAAGAAAAAGGAATGTAATCTCTGAGATTTTACAAGTTTTTGTCATGTGGAACTCAGAATCTATCCCTACTTTTAAGTTTTCTCTTCTGTAACAGGGAAAAGAAAGAAACAAAGACAACTAGATGCCTGAAAATATCATTTGATGTTCTGTGTCTGGAAATAAACACATTTTCATTCCAAAAACTAAATCATACTTTTGATCACAGGGAAATAATGTTAAAATTATTTATTTTTTTCCTTTGTCAATAGATTTGCTTTCTTTTGAGATATTTCCCTCGTGCTTTTGACTCTGTTCATCAAGGTTCCCAATGTCCTACCATTGCTCCTCATTCTGTTTTTCCTTAATAGCAATATATTAATAAAAAAAAAGCCAGCACCTGAAGATTTTACATGTATGAAGAGATTTCTGAAAGCTTATGGTGCTAATGTAGTATACTTAACTCTGGAAGACAGGTCCTGAATTGATGATAATCATTTTCTCAGCATTCTCCTGCTAATGAAAAGAAATTACCTGTGAGGATGTGACAAAGGCTGTTTCTTAACACAATTTACTTCTCCAGATCACCCAAGTTAGAGAGATCAAGACATTCTGCTCCTGGCAAATATCTGAAATTTCAAGAACAACAATTCAGAGGAATTTTCTCTGGTTAGTCACGTAAACATTCAGCTCAGAATATAAAACTGTATGCTACTTTAAGGCCCTCTTTTTCTTTTCCTTGAATTATGTAGATTAAAAAGTTTTAAAGTGGCATTTTTTTTGTTTAAGACTACAAGGACTCACTTTTGCATTTTATTCTTTTTGGAAAGTATTATTGATGGCCTTTTGATTTTGCAAATTTTAGCAAAAGTCATTCAAAAATTTCTAGATGAGTCTATTTAAAAATATGATTTCTGTACTCAATCACTAGTAATTTGATCACATGTGCCTTAAAATAGACATTCAAAAAACAAGCCAGCAACAACGGTTTCTGTCTAATAAATGGAGTTAACATTTTAGTACAACTATTTCCACTCCGTTGTTGTTAAACAATAAGGTAATTTGTTGGGATTATTGACCAGTTGAATTTGCATTTGATTGTGTCTCCCAAGGCATTCATTCCAAGAATTAACTGCCACCTCAACCTCTACTTTTTTGAATTTCTGATTCTATTCAAAGCTCAATTTATGTGTCATCTTCAGCTGGAGGTTCTCCTTAACTTCCCTGAGCTGCTAGTGTGTTTTCCCACAAATTAATGTGTATTTACTTTGTATATACTCATATCTGTACGAGTTGACTTCCTCACTGGAATGTAAGTTTCTAGAGGGTAGGGAATTTTTGTCTTTGTATACTAATGTCTAGCACTGTGTCTGGCACATAGTAGATGCTTAATAAATGATTGTACAGTTAAAGGAAGGGAAAAGTAACACTGCTAGTGAAGCATTTGGCAAAACTGTGGAGTTGACCAAGTTTGGTTTTTCCTCACAACTTTCAAGTGACTCCTTACCTGCCCTTCCCCCTTTCCCAACCTCTAACAAATTTCTCCATTTCCTCTACCACCAAGTTATTCTTCCATGTCCAAACTGTTCTCTATACTGTATGTTTAAGGACTCTTCCTGTGGTGCAATCTCCTCTCCAGCTCATTTCCCTTCTGCATCAGCATCCCATTTCTCATTCCCTTTGATTTCCATGGAAGGAGATGAGTTATTACCGAGGAAAACTAATCTGTATTAATTTGTTAGAACCTAAGTGGATCAGATGACGAGGCAGAAAAATTGTAGAAATGATGGGAACAAAAGCACCTGCTCAGACAGGGATAAGGGAATTATTTCCTGAAAAGTTTTCTTCCAATTTCCATTACGTTGGCTGGGAACAAGGGAAACAAGCTACAATCCAAATCTCAGTAATTCCAATGGGATGTCCAAACTCTTTTGTCATGATAATGGATTAAAAAAAAATCTCATACTTATGGGGGATGGGTACTTGAAAGGAAGGATCCAGGCGAGTAAAATAGGAAATTCCAATGTGGGAATAATCACTATGCAGATATGCAACTTGGCTGTGAGACTTTAGAGAGTTGCCTTTAGACACGCAGAGGTTAAGAGATTTGCCTAAAATACATACTAGTTACCTAACTCCAAGGTAGAATCCTAGTCTTCCGAGGTCAGCTTCTTATCTAATAATATTAGTTAAAATAAAAGATCTTAGTCGGGTAATTGCCCCTCGTCTCCCATGCAGGTTTTGTTCAGAGGAGCATTTGAATTGCAGTCTTTTGTAAGCTCATGACTTGCCCTCTGTACTGCAACACATCCTTTTCTCCCATCCTCTTATTCCCTCCCCCAAAGTGTCCACTATTGTTTACTACTAGAGTCATGTGACCAGCACCTCGAAGTTTGGGGAAGAAAGGTGGTCTATAAATAGAACTGCCAAAGAATCCGAGCTGAACCCTACCTGTGGCTGACTTCCCATCTCCTTCCCTACCCTGTTGAAGCTCCAACAAGTGGAGCTGGGCATGCTCAGTGGGCAAGGTAGGTTTTAGGGGTGCAAAAGAGGAAGCTTGCTGCTTTAGTGACAGGGCTCTTTCCTTCGCCCTCCTCTGCCTTAAGGTGGGCCCCAGGATACCCTTGTTCAAAATCTCACTCCTTGGTGCACTGGCCTGGTATTTTCTGCGTGCCTGCTGCTGACATTTAGGCGGGTGCTAGGAGGCTGGGGGCACGCCTCCAAGGGCGCCGTGGTTGGGGGATGAGGTGGGTGAGGGGCGCTGAGGAGATGCCTTTGGGCTCTTGAGCAACGGGGTCTCCTCCTGCCTTGTAGACGTGCTTCTTGCTGCCCAGGAAGTATGCTCACTGGTGGCTTGCTAAGCAGGAAGGCTGGAGCCCTGGGGGTGGGCAGCGAGAAATCAGGTAAGCGAACCGGGGCCTCCTTCCACCTCTACTAGTTTCGTGGATATCTCCTTCGCTGGCGTCCATGGGGCTGGCTCCAGTATCCTAGAGTGTCTTTTCCTTTGCCCCGGGGAAGCCCTATTGCGGAGGAGGGGGGTGGATAATGAGGCACCAAATCAACAGTCTCCTCCCACCTCCTTGCAACCTAGGGGCCGCACTCCGGGCCTAGCCGGCTTGCTTCCTGGCATACAAGAGGGAGTGCCAGACCTTCTCGGCTTGCAAGACTGGGCTGGACGGGTAACGGGAGAAGGAGCGCATCTCCACCTCTGTCCAGGAGTTGGAGAGGACCGTAGCTGCTCCGCTTGCTCCGCGCCGGGTGGGAAGGAGGGCTCCATTGGATCTGCTCTGGTGCGGCCCCACCCGGTGGGACCCGTGTCCGGGTCTCGCCGCGTTCATTGGGCGGAGGAGAGCTAGCTAGCTCAGGCTCCCCGATCCCTCCCCGCCATACCCCCCCGCGACTTCCGCATTTCCCCCGCTCTGAGGGCTCTGCTGCGCCGCGGCAGTGGGCGAGGGACCGCGGCAGTGCTGCGAGTTCTTCCAAGGGAGGAATAGGAGAGGGTGGGGGAGGGAGAAGAGGAGGAGGAAGAGAAGGAGGAGGAAATTAGCCTAGGGTGGGGGTGGGGGACTCCACGGTGGGAGAGGCTTGCTGGAAGCATCAGATTACACTTGATCAGCCTGTCCCTGGGTGATCTCCCGCACCAACCCCTCCCTGTCCTCCCCCACTGACAGGCAGTCTCTCCGCCTTGTAAGTAGCCCGGCTGTAGCTGATTAGAGTTGCTAAGCAAAGCCACTTCCCTGACATTAGGAACAAGCGTCTCCGGCTCCCTACTCTGTTTCGAGAGGATCAGCCTGAAGAGGTGTGTGTGCGTGTGTGCGTGTGTGTGTGTGTGTGTGTGTGTGTGTGTGTGTGTGTGTGTGTGTG